CCAGGCATGTTCTTGTCACAACCGGGGATGCTGATGTTACCATCGTGGTACTGGGCGAGGGTGATCGTCTCGATGGAGTCGGCGATGAGCTCTCGCGAGGGGAGCGAGTACTGCATTCCGGGCCCGCCCATGGTGATGGCGTCCGAGACGCCGACGGTGTTGTTCTGCAGTCCCACCAGACCCACCGCCTCGCATCCCTGCTTGATTTTGCGCCCGAATTCGAGAAGATGCGTGTTGCACGGGTTGCCCTCCCACCACACGGACGTGATGCCGACCTGAGCCTTGTTCATGTCTTCGGTGGTGAAGCCGCATGCGTGCAGCATGGACTGCGCCGCACCCTTGTCGGCCGACTGCGTGATGAACGAGCTGATCTTGTTGAGCTTTGGCTCGGCGCCGTTGTCCGAGCCGCCGTTGCGCGCCGTTGGGCGCAGTTCCACCTGTCCAGGCGCCATGCTTGCTGTGTCCGAGTGGCAATGAGATGCAAGAGGAGAGGAGGAGAGACTCCAGCGGGTAGAGTCAAGAAGCGATCGAGATGTGATGTGATCCGACGTGGAGAATGGAAGGAGGAAAGCTGGAATGAAAGTGACAGCATTGTATAAGGGTTTGCCGTGCGGGGTGTGGGGGAGCGGTCGAAGCGTCAGGGCTGCCCTGACCGAGCCAAAGGGGTGGTGGAGCCGAAGGCGTTGCTGAAGGCGTTGCTGAACCGAGGTGCTGCCCGTGCGCGTGGGGGAAGAGAGCGTCTTGTGACGGCGGCGCAGCGGCCTTTCTCTGCTCGGTTCGCGCAACTCGGTGGTGGACTTTCCCCAGCTTTGGCGACCATGCCGAGCAATTCGCCGACGGAGCATGGGGAGCGGTCCATTTGTAATCCACCGCGCTCCGCCACTGATGCCACGGGATGGGAGGCTCGAATCCCTCTTGGCCCCGCCCACACCTCGAAAGGAGGGCTTGGGGCGACGAGGCTGCATGGGCTCTGTCTGCCTCTTTCCTCCTTGCAAAGCGCCGGTCCAGCCCCGAGGCGTCCGCCGTCCCCGGCACAACGGACCCCCACACTTCCCGGTCGACGTGGGGGCGGATCCGCTTCGCTCGATTCTGTTGTTCGACAGGCTCTAACATTGTTCTAGGAAAAATACCGAATTTTTCCTCGGCCTGAGGTCACACGCGGGCCCTAGCTCACAGCATTCTGGCTGGCTTCTGACAGCTCGCTTAGGCTGGCTGGCTACCATTACGACGAAATCGCGCTTGCCTCGAACGACAAAGCAGGGTATGCAAGTGAACTGGGAAAGGGGAGCAAAAAAGGAGCATTGAAGAAGACGAAGACAGGGGATGGTGAAGGGGAGGCTCGAGCTCCATACCTGATTTCGGCGCAAAGTGAGAGCGAGCACGGTCCCTTTTGGCGCAACACAGGAGCGAGCGGAACAGCGGCGGCGGCGAAATCAGGAGGTAAAGGACCACTGAATGTCGATGACGCCCAGGTTGGTATCGGCGAGCTCCTTGAAGAGCGAGGGTGTCATATCGAGGCTCGTCTTCTTGCAGCCGGGGCACAGGTCGGCCACATACGCATTGGCGCACTTGGAACCGTGGCAGATATTGACGCCCTTGAAGCAGTGTGAGCCGCCCTGGTAGATGTCGGACGAGAGGGCGACAATGTGGTCGTTGACCGTGTTCCACTTGCCGCAGCTTCCCTGATTGGGCTTGAAGAATGTTCCCTTGCCGTGGAATCTGCCCTTGCCACCAGAAGGGGAGGGCGTGGCATGGTTTGCTTTGTGCTTGTTCTTCTTGCGGCCCGCACGCGAGTGCTTGTGGTTGCGGTGATGCGGCTTTCGTCGACCACGCGCCTCGATCGCATCGTCTTGGTCATCCTCCTCGTCCACCTCCTCGATGTCAATCTCCACCTCCTCGTCGCGCGGCTCGAGCTGCAAAGTGCTGCCTGCGGTGGAGGAGAGGTCGCGCGAGTCGAGGAGCACAGATGAAGAACTGCCAGCTGAAAGTTGCGCACTGGCCGTCGCCACCAAGAGCGACGAGAAAATTGTCCATGCCACAATCCTCATGGTGGATGGATGCTGTCCCAAAAAGAGTGTCGATGGTGTCGATAAAGTTCCGTCCACGAAGGTCGCGATGTTTGAGAAGAGGAGAGGATGAGAGTAGGATCGAACGGCGTCGGACGAGGATGGGGATGAGGATGGCCAGCAAGATGCAGATGGACAGGGGGTGGCGGACGATCGACCATTGTCTCAAAGTCGAGCCCCCCTACCACTGCATCGCCGTGCTTCTGTGCAAAAAAACCCACTCGACTCCATCTGTATGCGTCTGCGCCTGCATCTCTGCTTCGCACAGCCGTCACAACACACCGGGCCCAAATAGGCAACTCTCAGCCACCGGAACCGCCGGCGGAGTGCGAATGGACAACCAACACCTACATCACGCACGGCGGACAAGGATGAGCCTGAGCCGAACAGACCCTCGAAACGATCGACAGGGTGCATGTTTCTCGAACCGCCCCTTCATCAGCTGCCGGCCTGCGAGCCCCCAACCGGTCGGAGAGTCAATTCTGTGGTTCTCGAACAAAGCAGCCATGCATGCAACTCGGCACACCCACAACAAGCGCGCGTCACCCCCCTCTCTTCCACTTGATCGCCAAAAAAATTCCCGCTCCGACCCCGAGCCCACAATGCTGCCAAAAGGAAAATGTGCAAAAAAGAATGCATTGACGGGGACTCGAAC